AATGATCCCAAGTACAGACTCTGGCTGGGGTATACCCCAGCGGACTGACTGGACTGGACTGGACTGGACTGGACTGGTTGGTCCCGATAGAGGTACCGACCTGGACTGGACTACCCCGAATACAACACAGGCCAGTGAGAACCGGCCAAGGGGCTGGTCACACAGGCCAACCAGAGGTCCGCTACACAATCCTCGGCCTGTGATGGATCGCCTAGATACAAGCACGCTTACGCCAAGAAGCGGAACTCGACCAAAGAAAAAGAAGACCCGAGTATTCTAGGATGCGGAGCAAGCTCCCTGATGAGTCCATGCGATGCAACCTAGGCTAGAAAATGTCGCAAAAGAAGCAATGTCACAGCTAACAGCCTAAGTGAAAGCAGAAAGCAATTAACTAGTACACATGTCCTAGGAAAGCAGAAAGTAATGACAACTAAATCCTAGAATGTTGAAGGCAGTAGCCTCAGTCTGGAAACAACTAAGTAGTGTACAAGTCCTAAGAACAGCCAAAGCAAAGACAACTAAATCCTCGAAATGTGAGAGGCAGAGGCCTCAGTCTGAGAGCAACAAAACAATAACAAGACAACCATATGTCACAGGAAGGATGTGTCGCAAAACCACAGGGTGGGATGGTCTCTAAGGGTGGCAAATGCAGCCTAGGGGGTGATAAACTCCTAAGGGCATCCACACATAATGATAGGGAGACACATGTCATCAGGCTCAATGAGGGTAGGGAACTGGGGGCGAACACAATCAATGACCCTAACAGATAGACCATCAGGGCGGGTAATGCTCGACTAAAGGGGTGACCGCTATGTAGGGTCGACCATGCAAGGAAATAAGGGAGCCTGGTATACTGGGCGCACCTAGATGAAGCATGCAAGGCTGCCTAACTAGGGCGTGAGGGCCAGCAGAGGGTAGAAAAAGTGATGGGTAAGGGAATCATGCAAATGACTCCTAAAGTGAGGGAAGCCGTAACCAGATCCGTAAGCTGGGAAGCCAGGGCAACGCTACGGTCCCGATGCCTATCCATATACCAAGGGAGACCCCAACTCAGAGGAACCCAACTACAAGAGACCATCAGGCGACACAACCAGGGTGTACAAGGTAAAGTGGTAAGAGAGTGACAACGTCTGAAGTAGGCAGAGTTGATCGTGACGAAGTCTGTGGAGCTTTTATTGACGTCCATGATTAAAAGTTTGGAATTCCGCCGAGGAAGAGCCGCAACGTCGAGAGCTGAAGTAGCAAAACTGGTGTGGATGGAGTACTGAGAAGTCAAAGACATGGAAAGAGAAGTCAAAGTCAATTGTCGTATCAAGCACGACGACGACGAGTGCGTTGTGGACGCTCAGACGCATCCGACTGCTGCTGAAGGTCCGCCTTAGATGGAGTAGGCTCGACTTCAGCGATCTCCTCAACCGAGGGAGAAGGAAGAGGGTCAGTGGGCTGAGGAGGAGCAGTCGACCCAGCACGACGAGCACGGTCATAGGCACGCACCAACATGCGAGCGTGCTGCAAGTGCTCGAGGGGCTCCAAAGTAGCCTCCTCATCAGGGTAACCCTTCCAACGTACGAGATTCTAGACGTGAGGAGGGTTGTCGTCGGTGATTCGGCGGCCAATGATGTCTCAAACGAGGAACTCCTCGTGGACGTCCACCATGATGGGTGGAGGGAGCTCGTATGGTTGTCCAGCGAAACACTCGGACGATCTGCGATAGGGACGCAGTAACAAGACGTGGTAGACATCGTGCACATGAGCCTGGCGTAGGTAGTCGGGCAGCTTCACTCGGAAGTTGATCGGGCTAGAAGCCATATCAGAACCGATGGTCTGGAGAATGCGGCATGGGCCAAAGAAGCGGCGTCGAAACTTGTGAAGCGTGTCCGCTTCGAGCTGTAAGTGGCGGGCGTCGACAATCACATCATCACCGACTTTGAATGGATGATCCATCCGCGATCAGTTCGCACGTGCGGCTATGCGAGTCTGGGAGGCGGCTATGTGCTCATGCGCGGTCTGCATGATCGACATCATGTGTGGAACCCAATCATCCAGCGCGGGACAACTCGTGTCAGGGTGCATATGTGACGGTCAAAGGAAGTCCGCGGGAACACGAGGGTGATAGCCGAGGTCGCAATAGTAAGGCGACATCCCTGTAGTTGGCGAGACGACATGGTTGTAGGCTATCTCCACGTGGGCAAGATGGAGATCCCACTGCTGGTCGTTGCGAACAATCTTTCGTAGAATATCTTCGAGAGTCCTGTTCGTAACCTCAGTCTAACCATCAGTCTGGGGATGGTAAGACGAGAAGCGGAGCTGGCTGCCGTACACCTCGTGGAGCCGTTGCCTGAATCGGCTGGTAAAGTGTGGGTCACAGTCAGGTATGATGCTCAGGGGTAAGCCGTGGTCACGCACGACTCGGTCAAACACGATGTCGGGGACCTCTTGTGCACTGATGGCATAGCGGCACGAAACAAAGCGTGCGCGCTTCGTGAAGCGGTCGATGACGACCAGGATAGCATCATGACCGGGGGGGGGTAGGAGGACGAAGAGGACCGAGAAAGTCCATCGAGATGGACTGCCAACGACCCTCAGGGATAGGAAGAGGCTGGAACAAACCATAAGGCAGGTGGTTCGCGGTCACCTCCTGACAGGTGGGACACCCTGTGACGTAGTCCTTCACAAAGTCCTTGCGGTTCGGCCAGACGTACATGCGGCTCACACGAGCCAACGTCTTGTGGAAGCCCATATGACCGGCGGCTGCCTGGTCATGGAACTCTGCTACTGCCTAAACACGTAGCTGTCCAGTGGAGGGAACGCAAATGCAGGGCTCTCTGGTGCCCTGTGAACCGTGCCAGTACACAAGACCGTTGTCCCCGCGAGAGTAGTTCGGGACGGTCTTGCCACTCCGAAGGGTGGCATGGATGTCGCGATGGTCAGGGCAGTGGCGGTACTGAGTGCGACTCGTCGGTCACCGAGTGGTGGACAGTGGTGACCGAGATGGCAGCGAGTTGGATCTGCCTCAGATCATGGTCAGGGCCCCGGGATAAGGCCTCTGCGACCTGATTGGTTTCACCCTTGATGTGCTCAGTGGTGAAACTAAACGCGGATAGGTCGCGCCACTAGCGAGCCTGTCGAGGAGTGAGCTTCTTCTTTGTCAGAAAAGCCTAGACAACAGAGTTGTTTGTGCGCACCGTGAATGGTGCTCCGTGGAGGTAGTGACGTCAGTGCCGAGTGGCATAAACTACTGCGAGAACCTCACGTTCATCAGTAGTGTAGTTTATCGCGGCGGGCAGGAGCTGACGGGAGTATAAGGTTATCGGACAATCATCTGAGCGAGACTCGACAGTGCCATCCTCGTCGATGGTAGAAGAATAGTCAATAGAAGGCTTGTTAGTAGCTGGACGAGTAGGCGTTAAGCGGGAAACACTAGTGGGGGTAGGAAGTGGGAAGTGAGGGATGCGAGGATGAGAGGAATCAGGAGAGGAGGGGAAAATCCGAGAAAGCAATGTTCCTACAGCAAAGTATGTCGCATCGGTGGTAAGGATAAAAGGGCGATCAAAATCGGGTAGGTGGAGAACCGGTGTACATGTCACCACCTTCTCGAGGGCACGAAAGGCGTCCTCGTGGAAGGGTGTCCAAACACATAGCTGGTTCTTTCGAAGGAGGGTAGAGGTAAGGACATGCGAGTAGGAGGGGTAAGCTCGAATGAACTTACTGTAATAACTCGGAAGTCCAAGAAAATTGCAAAGTTGCTTGACGGACTTGGGGTTAGGCCAGTCCGCGATAGCAGTGATCTTCAAGTCGTCCATGTGAAGATCCTGGTCAGACACGTAGTGTCCTAAGAAATCCACTTTGCGTTGGGCAAAGAGGTACTTGCTCAGCTTGGCGTAGAAGCCATGTCTGCGCAAGCGGCCAAGGACGTCGTGGAGGGGTCTGAGATGCTCCTCAAGGGTACGACTGTAGATCAGGATATCGTCGAGGTAGACGAGAACGTACTGCTCCAGGATGTCCTGAAGATGTCGTTCATCGTCGTCTGGAAGGTAGCGGGTATGTTGGTGAGGCCAAATGGCATCACCGTAAACTCAGTGGTCGGAGCGCGATCGGAATGCTGTCTTCGGTTGGTCCGCTGCAGCGACGCGGATCTGATGGGAACCGCTACGACGATCAATCTTCATAAAGAAGCGGGTGCCTGCTAGGCAGTCGAACAGCTCGTCGGAACGAGGCATGGGGAGTTGTTCTGAACTGTGTAGCGGTTAAGACCACAATAATCGATACAGAGACGGAGAGTTTCATCCGCTTCGCGAGCAATGAGGACGGGTGCACCCCACGGGGAGTTGCTTAGTTTAATGAATCCCAGTCTTAGGAACTCTTCAAGCTGACGCTTGAGTTCGGTGGCCTCGAGGATCGAGAGTTTGTAGGGTGTCTGGTGGTGAACACGATAGTCAGGCACAAGCTGGATGGAGTGCTCGACGTCGCGCATCGGTGGGATGCCGGCGTACGAGAAAGGCGATAGAAAAATGTTGTGGTACTCTCGAATGAGGTCACGAACTACGGGCTCCAGGTCGGCTGTATAGCATGCGAGTTCCTCAACGTCAGATTCGGCGCGCGACGACGGGGTGGACTCGGCAGACAGCGGAGGGAGGGAAGTAGAGATGAGAGACATGGAGATTGAAGGAGGATCTGGCTCCAGAAAGATGAGCTCGGCATCGGGATAGGGTGGATCATAGTGCAAGAGATCCGTAACGTTCACCGTAAAGAAGGTGACGTCGTTCTGTCAGATGAAGTGAGTGAACTGCAGAGGCGAGGTGACGGTGATAGTAGGAGATGGTGTGGGCATGGAAGGCTCCGGGGCAGGAGGATCGGGGCGTGGTGTCGCAGTGGTACCTATAAAAGGTATGCGATACGTTTGTCAACACTTCGTTCTGAGAACGAGAGTGTTGGTCGTCCAATCGGCCTCTGTGCTTCGGAACCAACGAGACCACAGAGTACCGCGAATGAAATCGTACCTCGTCTCTATCACATCGAAATGTGCAGAGGAGCGGTGGCGACGAGACACCGGGGGATGATCAGTCGCCTCGAGAGTGAGGAAGAAAGGGAGGTCGGTGACCGTCTGATCGAAGAAGCGTTGGGTCTTGTCATCTCCTAGGGTGACGGAGATGGGAGTCGAAGACCCTGTCATGCGTAAGCGTGCTCCCTTCACCACACATGGGTGAATGAAGTCGCCCTGCGAACTGGAATCCCACAGCGCTAAGTACACCCTCGTGGAGGTCTCGAGTCGTATTGGAATGATCGGTGCGATCAGGGTCAAAGAGGATGGTGAGAAGACGACACAGTGCAGCCACATGGAGGGTGAGTCGCTCCTGATGAGACTGAAGAATGCTCAAGTCTAGAAGGGAGGACACAACGTCCTCGCGAGTTGCAAGTTGCTAGATGCAACGGGCTGAACGAATGGCTCGACGCGTCAGTAATCGCAGAGAGGTAGGAGGGGAGACGGTGGTCTGCAGAGGCGCAGACGGTACTGCGAGGCCTCAACTCCAGTAGCGAGAGGGGCAAACCGCGACGGAGATGTCGGGAAGCTGACTACTGAGGAGGGCACAGGTGTACACTGCACCGTGGCTAGGAGGCGTCGCGGGGATGAGAGGCGTCAGGGGGGGACTGAGCACGACGCTGGCGAGAAAGCTCAGCGTAGTGGTGATCGAGGGCGGCGGTGTAAGGGCATCGCGAGGAGGTATGACTGTCCTGGCGGCAGCGCAAACACCCATACCGACCTGAAATGGTCGAGCGCTCCTTAGCGGAAAGGACACCGCGAGGAGGGACGAAGCCCTGAAGGAGGTACTGCTAAGGGACCTCAGGGGGCGACGTGCCAGCGTGACCAGAGCGGCTGCGTGCCCGAGAGAGGGTGGAAAGGGCGAGATGGAGGCGCTCAACTATAGGGAGGGTAGAGTCCTCTAGGTGATAGTGGACGGCCTCGCAGAGATCGAGGTCATCGCTATGGTCACCCTCAGGCGACAGAAGGCCAACAGTGTCTTGCTCATCATACTCGAGTGCGCTGAAGCGGTGCGAGAAGTGGCGGCCCTGCTGCGCGGAGCGGCGAGGATGACCGTGGAAAGGGGAACGGCGCTGGGAAGTGTCGTGAGAGAAGGAGGGAGCGTAACCAGTACGCTGAGGCTGGGAGGAGGAAGCGGGGTGAAGACGGGCTCGCATCCGCTGATGGGCCCTGGCGGCCTCATAGGCCTGCGGGGTCGATGTGAAGTCATACCGCCATAACTCGAAGCGGTACTCAAGGGAAAGGCTGGCCAATAAGCGATCGATGAGGGCAGCCTCGGGGAGGAGCGCCACATCGCAAATGAGGCGGGCGTCCTGAAAGACCTGGATGTGGTGGTCCAGGCCGGCAGCGACACCAGAGTTGGACCAGCGTGTACTGACAACACGCTCGAAAGCGTTGCTCACGTCGTGTCCGGCTCCGTAGTGATCCTCGAGGAACGCCTGGAAATCCACGAAGGTCGGGGTCCGACCCTCACAAAGGGAGTAACTGTAGAAATCCTCCTAGGCGGTGGAAGGATCACCACGCATGCGGGTGAGAGGTGAGCCACCCACTGGTCAGGTGGGACGACCATGAGCTGGAGCGTGTGGGTGGCAGAGTGCAGTCACCGAGACACGTGTATCCCTGTACCGTCATACGAGGCAATGTCCATCAAGTGGACGAGTGGTGCGCCACCGTTATGGTGGCGAGGAGATCGGGGAGCAGAGGCATGCGCTACGGCCAGGTAAGTCGGTGCAGGTGTTGGAGAAGGGGGCGCAACTGTCTGTACGTCCGGGCCGCATGGTGAAGCGGCGGGGGAAACAGCAGCAGGCTGTGAGGGAGCTGCGGTAGAAGAGGTCGCAGCAACCGATGGAGTAGGAAGGAGATAGGATGGAGGAGGAGGGGGTGCCGGGTGAGGGAAGCGAGCCTGCATGGATGGAAGAGTAGAGGAAGGAGGAGGTGTGCCCGAGGGCGCGACCACCTGTGAGGGTAGGGGTGGTTGAAGGCGTAAGAGGGCGAGGTCGGCCCGGGTCTAGGCAAGGTCAGCCTCAAGACGTCGGACGTAGGTCGAGCGAGGAGTGGTAGGAGTAGACGCACGAGCGGCGCGGGGCATCCCACAAGGGGGAGAGCCTGGTGGCGCTGTGGTCGTGCGAAGGGGAGGGAGAAGCGGGGCACCCGAAAAAGTTGAGACCCGACAGAGGGTTGTGGTCCTATGGCCGTAGTCACCGGAGTTTGGGCGGGTGCGCCCGTAGAGTGAGGAGAGGCGTGGCCCGTGGCGGCCGTCGCGCTAGAAGCGTGGATGGTCACCAGGATGGTCGTGTCAGGGGCAGCGGAGGAGGAAGCTCCACTGTAACGAGCGTGAGGCTGAGGGTGAGCCGAGGGAGAGAAGAGAGAGGGAGAGAGTGAGAGCAAACACACACACTCACTCACTCGACTCGACGCACTCGGACTGAGGGTCGGACGCAGACACAGTGGTAAGGCACAAAGTCGAAGTCTTGAATTCCGAATGCCGAAACAGCAAGTCACACTGAGTACGAGTACAGCAGCAGAGAACTAGTACGATACTGCCCCCCGTACCGTACGGGGAGCCGGTATAAGTACCGGTGACACGTACGGTACCAGCGGCATTTCTGCAAAGGCCCCRAGGGCAGAACTGAAAAATGCAGTATTTGAAAGTGGCGCCCGAATTGCAGCATGGCGCCAGTTGTCCAAAATCCTACGGTACCAAAGGAGGGGTTTGGAAAAAGGGTGCCAGGCCGAGAACGGGATGCAGCCAAAACAGCAAAAGATAGACCAGGGATCGAGCCCTGGCGAAGTCCGTAACACTATCCCCTCCCTCTAGAAGGCAACGTCCCGGCTGCCAAAAATCATGAAGCAATGCTGAAACCTGTGAAGGACGGGACGGGGCCGATCACTGGTTAACAAGTCGAAAGGGAAGAGGGGTATAATGTGGGTGGCATGGGCTGCGGGAGTAAGAGGGAACAGGGTTTGGTACCGGTGAACAGAGTTGTCTTACTGATGAACTAGGAGGGGTTGGAAGGAACAGGGTAGTCCTACAAATGAACTAAAGGGAAGATAGGGAGCAGGGTGGTCCTACTGATGAACTAAGGGGACTGCATGGTTCGCTATAGGTTAAGGGGGAACAAAGTTCAGGGAACAGGGAACTTCTATTGATGTTCTACTGGGTAAGGGAAACGGTGTTCAGGAAAACACGGTATTTCTATTGATGTTCTACTGGGTAAGGGAAACGGTGTTCAGGAAAACAAGGTATTTCTATTGATGTTCTAGTGGGTAAGGGAAACGGTGTTCAGGAAAACAGGGTATTTCTATTGCTGTTCTAGTGGGTACAGGGGACAATGGTTAGGGAAACAAGGATCTGCTAATGCTGTTCTACAGGGTTGTCAGAGTCAGGAAAAATAAAAATGAAAATGTTTGTTCAGGATGCGAAGGCTGGTGTGTCCGAAGGAGTCGGAAGCAGAATCTCATGTAGGAACAGGGTTGTCAAAGTCGGGAAAAATAAAAATGAAAATGTTTGTTCAGGATGCGAAGGCTGGTGTGTCCGAAGGAGTCGGAAGCAGAATCTCATGTAGGAACAAAGTGTCCAAGTGTTTTGAAAGGGGGTCTGCAGCGGTCTTCAGCAGTTGCGATCAGGGTTGTCGAACCCCGGCCCCGGGACCCCGCCGGGGTTCCGGGGTTCCGGGGGTCGGCACCCGGGACCCCGGCCCCCTGTAGGG